ATGCTAATTTTATACATACATAACGACAGTAGGCTAATGGCAGGGCGCGGACCGCGAATTCAAAAAGGTCGTGGGTTCGAATCAGCCAATCGACTACTGGCGTAAAGCACTCGTAACACAAGCAATTTAAGCTTACCACGAGTCAAGGGGAATATTAGTAATGTCGTCAGGGGAATATTAGCAATATTCTATATATAATAATATTCTTATTTCTTAAATGCTAATTTTATAAAAAACGCGATACTCAGTACAATACAGAAATTATCTATATCGTAGGATTATTATTAAAAAGTAAAAGGACCCAATAATAATGCAAGTCGGTCGACCTTAGGACCAGTGGCGTAGCTACCTTGGGTGGCACCCGGAGCGGAAGTTGGTGGTGTCGCCCCATCGAAAGTAAAAAGCAATAAATTTTATGTGATAAAGGACATGGATAATTTATTATTTATAATATTGAAGAAATAACAAAACACAATAACTAAGACAGAAAAGGAATTGTTATACAATTAAAATTTCTTCTTTCTAGCTTTGACAGCTGCAAACTCGATACTCAGTGCAACTCAGGGTGCCACCCAAGGTAGCTACGCCACTGGTCCTAAGGTCGACCGACTTGCATTATTATTGGGTCCTTTTACTTTTTAATAATAATCCTACGATATAGATAATTTCTGTATTGTACTGAGTATCGCATATTTTATAAAATTAGCATTTAAGAATTAAGAATATTATTATATATAGAATATTGCTAATATTGCCCTGACGACATTACTAATATTCCCCTTAACGACTCGTGGTAAGCTTAAATTGCTTGTGTTACGAGTGCTTTACGCCAGTAGTCGAATGGCTGATTCGAACCCACGACCTTTTTGAATTCGCGGTCCGCGCCCTGCCATTAGCCTACTGTCGTTATGTATGTATAAAATTAGCATTAGCTCTATTTCTGTTCAATTGGTGCTCGATCGATGCATTTATGTCGCATCCTTGATACAAATATAATAACTCGATGAAACTCTATGCTCCAGAAGCTATCTCTTTGAAAACAAATTTCAAAATATTTTATGAATCAGATTTTCAGTTTCAATTACGAGTAAGTAGGTATCGTTTCTTTTGTACTCTTTGTTCGTTATTGAATATAAAATTGGTACAAGTATTCAAAATTTAACACTAAGTTTTTAAGACAAGAATAAAACATAAATTAAAATAAAACCCTCAAAAAACGTATCGTATAGATATACTATAGACGCGTGATTAAAAAATCCCGGCGCAGGAAAAAAAAAGAAACATGAAACGTCAAACGTCATATAAGTAACTTTTGTCTAATAGCATAATTTTATTTTCCATGTACAATATTTTGGAGGGTCTAAATCCACCCTGGCGGAATCTTGGTAACTTAACAATAAAATAAAAGTTAAAAAATGCGTTTATATAATAATTTAATTGTAACAAAATAATAATGTTACTTACCGACGATACGATACGATTATGTTCCTTTTTAATCTTTGTGTCGTAATTTTTGCATCCTTTTACCACACATCTAGGCATATTTATGACAGGCAAACCTGTCCTGCGCGCGCACCACTGTCAACGGAGTCGCGTTGGCTCTAAACTGTAATTAGTTTTTGGGCCAGCGCACTAGTGCGATTTAGTTGCGCGGTCGACCCGGTTCTTATGCTAGTAATACACAATATGTAACGTAATTAACGCACACCCTCAGACACCCCAATTAGTATATTATGTGATAATCATAATACATACACTGAATTTTTAGTTAAACATTTTTATGCACTGATTATTTATCAAATTAGTTATACTAATTCCGGAAGAATGATGTGGTTACATTACAAATCCACGAACGCAAAGACTTTAACCTGCTTGAAATAAAGTTCATTTTTCTTTATTTTATTGAATGACAGAATTAGTAATAATACAAATACTGCACTCTTAAGTCTTATTGCCTTAAGTTACGGTCCATTTCAGTTTGTTTTGACTGTACAGATTTAGTGTGACTGCAATTTACGAAGTTTTAATTATTTTTGGGATAAAAAATTACCTATTATTAAAAATGATAAGAATCGATTCAGTAAACGATTCTGAACAAACTACTTTCTCAAAGTGCGTTAATTATGTTACGTGTTGTATAGTCAATAATTAAAAAATAAAAGATCGTCGTCCACCCTTACGTCCTTAGGGAACAAGTACTTAGGGAGTCGGTCTGGGTAGATAGAACATTCTTACCTTTTTCTGCCGTCAAAGATCCAGTGCTTGCATACCTGTGCTTCGGTCTGAAAGGTATAAGACTAGTACAATTAGACTGAGGAATTTCATTTCAGTCCTCAGGAGTGACAACTCATCTTTATTTTTCTTTGTATGAAGTTGGCTGCAGGCGTCCAAGGATTGCAGGAGCAGGGTCGCTTACGATCAAGTGTGAACTGTATGTTCGTTTGTTAACTTCAGTTTAAAAAAAGCGAAAGGAGACGGTCCATTTCAGGCCTAGTCTATGTACACTACCGTAAAAAAGCGATAAATTCAGGGATTTTATTAAAAATAAGATAATAAATGAAACTAAATAACTTGCTAAAAACAAAAATGTTATCCCAAGTTTTTAATGGTTTCACAAGATGGAGCCCTTCCAGTCATAAAAAAGACGCGGTTATTTGTCAAATGTCATTTCTGACAAGTGACGAGTCATGAATAATAGCGTGATATTTTTATTTATTCCGAGCTTGGTCGTGTAGTTGTGAACTTATGAATGCATTTATTGTGGTGGATTTCTTTGGCGATTTGGTTTAGTGATAAAGATAACACAATATAACAGAATTCAAATACACATCAATAAATGGATCAATAACCTCATGACAGCTAACGCCAAACGACATATATCCGCCATTAGTGTTGTATTTTCTGGTGAGAATAAATTATTAATACCACTGAAATAAAGGCAAATTCGTGAATTTGAATGATTAAAAGTGATTTGATATTTTATTTTATTTTCCTACTAGTACAAAACTAGGCCTATGCTTCATACAATTTTGCACCATCTCCTTTCTATCGATTTTCCATTCCCACTATACACAGCAGCTACAATAATCGCCACTGTCTCATATCTCCAACATCAGTCTCTTCCAAGACAAGAGGTCCTTGTCCACTAGTAAAATTAAGCACACAATTATAACCCTAATACTCCAGACCTAATTTCGATCATCGGCCTCTGTCAATGGATACTAGCCATCTGCATACTATTCTAATTCATCATTTTGGCATAACTAGTAAAAGCCTCTTGACTTAACATCACACAAATCAGAAGTGATCATCAATCATCAACAATGAAAAATCCTTTGATTTTTTTAAATACAACAATTTCATATTATCCATCATGGATACCAGGATATTAGATACAGTACCAGGTTTCATGTAGTTCTAAAACACCTATTCGGTCCTCTTTGGATACTGTTGGACGAAAACAAGACACGGTATATTTGTCTTTTTTTATTAAATAAACATCAACCTTGTGTATATAGTTACTCAATAACAAATCAGTCTTTAATTTTATATTAATCATTGATAAATTTCTATTCTTTTTAAATGGACATATAAGACAATTCATTGCCATCGTTTAGAAGCAAATTTGAGATAACAATTCTAATAATAATAATGTTTGGCAAACGTGACATTCATGAAAAGTAGGAACAATAGTGGACATAAAAAGGCACCTTGTGGCACACTACTGTATCAATTTCAATCCTTACTGTTGACAATTCTCCGCTAGAAACTACATTTTTGTTACAATCACAGATTAAATAAGGATCAAATTAATTTAAGCATTTTACAATGCAGATATATTTCCTTATAGGATGGTTTTTAAATATTTATATTATCCAAGGGCTTTCTTAAGTTCTTTTGTGTGAATTTAGGTGATGACAATAATATAATTAAATACATTTTATTCACAGATCTTTCTTCGAACCAAAATGGATGTTAACGGTGTACAAAAATGGACCTTTATTGTGAATTTTCGAGAACATTCTGACAATTTCTGTTAAAATAACATAGTTAAAATGGACATATGTCATATATGAATGTGCATGATGTAATGTAACAAATAGTTCATAACATTCTAGTTTTTTTTTTAGTTATTCAAACTTATTCGAATTATATTAATAGGAAATTGAAAAGTTCTAAAGCAATTTAAAATAATAGTTTGATTGATAACAATTGATTTAAAAAAGAATTCTCTGGAGTGCGGTATGTGATCAGATAATGTCTTATTAATGGATTGTTCTAAGACCAAACAAATACATTTATAATGTATGTAGTTTTCAAACTACACATTTTGAATAAATAATTATTATTATTTTATGTAACAAATTATAAATAAATAATAAAAAATAAGTGTACAGTTCTTTTCTCCTTATATTATTACTCAATAATGATTGAAGGAACATGTGTCCAAAGACTAGACAGATAGAATATCACAGATTCGATTTAACCTTAAAACTATAACAATCTTCTTTCTTGAGGTACAATAAATAAAACACCAATGTATATTATTCTATACTTTAGTCAAATACACTTAGATCTAAATGACATTTCACATAAAAAATATATCCATACATTCATCATTGTTTGAGGGTAGTTTGGAAATTGATGAAATTAATCACTTTAAACACTCACTTAAAACACTCTTGCTTTGTTTCAAAGTCATCTGCTAATTTACATCTTAAGTTGTTTCTAAGATTGAACATTAGTAGTAGTGATTTTAAACATTGAACCTATAATGAAGTAGCTAGGTCTACCTCCTTTTAATTATGAGTCCTTCAAATGCACACTTTTATTATGTTAAAGTGGCATACGAGTTTACAGTACATGTGATATTACACGGCTCTCAATTTTTTTTAAGTGGTTAATTATTTCACAAATCTTACTAATTTCATGTATTCTGTGGTCCCTTCCTTTCTACCCTCGATAAAACACTCCACCCCTACATGTAGACAAAATTAAACCTGCATAGGCTTTGTGATAGCGAGGAGATAATTGGACCGTAACCCTGGGCATTATCATACAGTTCAAATAATGGTGCAGCTACAAGTTTGTAGTTCTTTGGCACTGCAAAAAGTGCTCTATCCTGGAGCTGAACGAGGAACAGTCGTTTATGCTCCTTTGGTTTTGTTATGTGTGGCGGAATGTACGGATATTGTGGGGGTTCAAAGTTCGGACGCCACCAGTTACCTGAAAATCGATTGATAAAAATTAATACTACTAATTCATCCATCTATTCATCCTTTACAGTCTATAAAAGTCCACTGCTGAACATAGGCCTCCGTCATGGGTGGATTTTGCTATAGTTGCCATGCTTGGCAAGCGGGTTGGCAACCGATTTTTTTTATATTTTGAATTCATCAAGAATATGCTGCTGCCCATCTCCTGTTTTATTTTCCCTCTGCCTCTTACGACACCCACGGGACGATATGGTCTAGTGGAAATTCTTAAACCGCTAACTACACAAGGTTACAAGACCTGTTTAAGAGAAGTTATTTAAGAAAAAGTAACACAATTTTGTCGTCTGAATAGTTTATGAACGAATTTTATTACAAAATTTTATAGAGTTATGACCCCTTTATAAATAATTGTATCATTTGATATGGCTAATTAGCAGCAGACATGTTAACAAAGGTATGGAGGTATTTTTTTTATAGAAGTGGGGGCAAACGAGCATACGGTTCACCTGATGTTAAGTGACTACAGCAGCCCATGAACAACCATAACACCAGGGGAATTGCAGGTGCATTGCCGGCCCTTTAGAGTTGAGTAAGCTCTTTTCTTGAAGGTCCCCAGGTCGTATCGGTCCGGAAAAATCGCCAGTGGTAAACTGTTACACAGAGTGTTCGTACGCGTAAGAAAACTCCTAGCGAAACGTACAGTGGTGGACCGCCAAGCAACCACATGGTGTGGATGGTATCGGGAGGTGTGCCGCGTAGTGCGTTCATGAAATTTGGCGGCTGGGTTCAAACCGAACAATTCATCAGATATTTGACATCTCATCATAGCTAACCAGGGCTTTTTTAATTCGGGAACGAAAAATCTACTCACTAGAATGTGTGTGCATAATATAGTACAAATTCGTTATAACAAATATTTTCTAATCCTCTTCAGATTTGTTAAGATGATTTGCTAAGAAATTTGTTGTAATGGGGTTTGTTATACAACATCTAACAAAACTCTGTGATGTAAAGACGTAGAAATATTTTTTTTTTTTCAAAAACTCGACCATTAAAATAATTTTTACTTGCAAATTATATGTGGTTTTATTACTTCTAACTGACACGAGCATCGGCAACACAGGACCTTTGACAATCTTCTTACTCTCCAGTCAGTGCAGAGGTAATAAAACCCACATACAATTGACAATTTATTTCTTTTATTAAAAAAAATAATGACAGAGGTTTATTAAAAAGTTATTTCTATATGTTTGCATACTGATTCTGATAACATAATTAACAGGCACCACAGGGTTCTGTTACATGTCATTTAAAGGTTAGGATGCTCTTAGTTCACTTTTTTACCTTTTAACTTAAAAAAAAGTAAAACACATAAAGAATGACATGTGACACTTTCTTTTTACAAATACTTTTAGTTTTCGATTGTTAAATTAAATTATTTAGTGTAAAAAATGAGGGAAAAGTGCATGGCCATCATCTGAATTCAAGTACTTAGTAACTTATATAACATAAAAGTAAATCACCATTATGGATAATTATATTTTTCTAAAACGTCATTTAAAATTAGTTAAATAAGTACTATAAAACACGCTCGCGCCAACCGCATGTATTGTCTATCAGACTCCGTGAAGTTCGCTAGCATAAGATCGGCCCAGCCCTGTCCTGCAGTACCTCCACCATTGCTCTGCACAAGTACATTCGTTTCCCGATCGTTAGGCTATCTTTAAACTGTGGTAATACCACGACCTTTTAGAGATCACAAGGTCTTGCAGGCAATCTCCTTAGTTGACAGTCAGATTAGTTAACATTTGTGCAGCTAATTAATCCAATTGTTTAAATAATAAGACTTTATTTTCTCTGCAGATCAATTGAATACAAGTCCTTTTAAAATTTTAACAGTTGGGAAAAACAAATGTTCGTTGAATATTATTATATTTTATTTTTTTATTTATTTATTTCAATCAACAAGGATCATAGGGTAAAATTACATTCATTCAAATCTATTCTAATACTAAAATTATAAATCATTACTAACATTAATTATATCAAATGCTTTCCAGCACCCATGGTCACGTGGGACTGAGGTGACTGACGTCTCGATGTCATTGTTAAACCCGGAGTACCTTCAGCTTTTTTAATTATTGTTTATGGTCCGATCTATGCAAAATAAACTGACTATGTCTTGAGGTCTTGCAGTGGTATACTTGGGTTTAGTTTTAATTTTATTGATTATAGGGTCCCAAGCAGGTGAAAGGTGAAATTAGGATGTTTTTTAATTTCAATAGCCTCAACCTTGGTAGGAATCGGTGTTCTTTCGCGAGGATTTGTGGTCTATCAAACCTGATGTAATGGTTGGGGCCGTCTAGGATATGATCACACACTGCAGACTTCTCGGAACGTTGATGCTGCACATCAGCTATATGTTTTGTGATACCAAATTTTACAATATTTACTAGAGATGGGCCGAATATTCGTTTTATATTCGGTATTCGGCATATTCGGCAGCTTTACCGAATATTCGTATTCGGCCGAATATTCGGCTAAATCACCGAACATTCGTTAAAGTGCTACTCAAGGTGTCCACTGTATTAAAATGTATGAATTGAGTAATGCCATGTCTTTCATAATTTTACTGTTGAAAGTATATTTTATTTACGGGTTAAATCTGCTTGTATAGCGTTATATTTTTAGGCACTGTAGATTTATTTCCAATTATAGCAAATATAAAGCTTGATTTAACATACAAAATTACATTACATTAGTAAATTTCACTTTACTTTGGTCGTCAGTCTCCTTGATGCAATAATATGTCAGGTGCGGCGGGGAAGCAAGGGACTGGGTCCGGCGCTAATCCCGCGCGCTTTGTGGTAACAAGTTTCGACATAAATTGGTTAGGTACCGAGGTGATCCTGCCGAACAATGTTCGCCCGAATATTCAGTTCGGTAAAATTTTTACCGAACGTTCGGCCGAATATTCGTATTCGGTAAAATCCATATTCGGCCCATCTCTACTATTTACATATTAATATGTATGTTAATATGTATTACGATCTGTGCAAGGTGGCTGGTAGAAACTGGATGCGTGTAGCCGAAGATCGGGCTAAGTGGCGCGCCTTGGGAGAGGCCTATGTCCAGCAGTGGACTGCCGCAGGCTGATGACGATGATGATGATGTATTAAAATTCAAACGATTTTTTTAATGATAATTTTGAATATTAATCAAAAATCTAAAATGTGCTTTACTCAGTCTGTCAAAACAGCGAATCGGGTTTGTAGTGGTGATATACGACGTAATTGCTTGTATGTGTGCTCCCGGCGACACCGAATCTCATACAAAATAAGTTTGACAGCCATTATGTTGTGTATTAAAGTATTCCATGATTTTTAGTCAATATAGATAATTACATAATACTTGTTGAAATTCATTTTTTTATTTCTGTAAGAGTGTGGTCCTTCTCCTGTTGAGCCGACCCATTCATGCTCCAACTATAATATACTCTAATCTACTCCTCTACAATAATTACTCAGGCTTGTAAGGAATTCTAAATTAACTCCGATAAATCTAGATTAGTAATTATTATAAATGTAGTCCTGTGGTGTCATTTTATTCATATTAGTTAGTAATTCAACTCTTAAAAGCATTTATATTCAGTTGGAACTATGGGTAAATAAGTCACGACTGAACCTAATTAGTTGAACTAGTAGAAACTAAGCAGCTGTTACAACATCCACGTTTCCACAAGATAGGATAGTTATGGGTTCCTTACACAACCATCAAAAATGGTTGTGTAAAACTATCAAATAATTGATGTCAATGTTGTGAAACCTAAGGGCAAAAATGCCAAATCACAATTCACGTAACAGTCTTAAAATAAAAATATGATCACATTTCTCACCTATGGTATCCTCAATCACCCACTCTTGTTTCACACCATCTTGTCTGCCTAGAGTCTCTGTCAGCAACCTTTTCAGACCCTCAATCTCATCCTGGAGAGAAAATATTTTATTGTACACATTTTCTAACTTTGAATACTAACATGGACACAACCTATCCATTACCATTAAAGCCTATTAAAGTCCACTGCTGAACAAAGAACTCATTAAGGTGGGTCTACGCTAGACGAGCCAAGGATGGGCGGAGCATGAGCCGAGCACAAATTTGTATAATATGGACCGACTTACAAGCCTCAAACCAGCACGCTTTTAGCATTTAGTTTGTGCTTGACTGTGCTTCGCCTATTATCGGTTTTTCGACGAACACAAAGGGATTTGCATTGCATGCATCGGTTTGCATGTTGTAGGCACGTTGTACATCCACATTTGACACCGCAAGTATAGCAGCTCAACTCGTGCTTGGCTCCTCTAGTGTAGACTCACCTTTATAGATTACCTCATAGGGGGATATTTACCATAGCCGCCAATCTTGGCTAGTGGTTTGGCAATCACAGTATTATTTTTAGTCAATAATAGGAAGACACTGCTTGACCCTCTCCTGATTTGATTACCTCTGTCACCTCTTATGACCTCCACTAAATAATGTAGGATGTAAATGAAAATAATGAAATAATGTAATGTGTGGTAATATAGGATAGTGGATATTTTTACACTGCCATTATACAATAACTACAACATTACCCTCACCTAAAATCTTAATACTCTTGTGCGACAATAACATTGTGACAAAATTATATCAATAGGTATTTTTTATGGAATAAAAGTTCATGTATCACCACACAGTCCACCTGAGGGTAAGCGGATGCTGAGTCCCATAACCCATTGACATACATCTATCATCAATGAAGAATTAAAATGCAGATATGTTATCACCAATAAAATTAAAATGAAATGTCTCATTACCAGTAAAATGGGTCTCCATACTCGCAATATTAGACATAGTAGCATTAAGCTGCTATTTCACGACGGTATTCTGTACGAGGGTGGTCCTACCCTGGTCGAGCAAACCCATAATGCTGCAGGCTGCTCTACCATTTAATGTTTTTTTATTGCATTTTGTTTATCACCTCATATGAATAAACTGAACACATTTTTGCTAAAAAATGGACTGTTTTTAAATGTAGTGTCAAACTTCAAGCTACAACAAGTACAGAATTTGTGAGTTAGGATTTCGACAGCCAAATGGTAGTTGTTGACAATTTTAAGTGATTATTCTGTATGGGGATGAGTCGCTCGCGTCCGTAGGCTTCGACCACCTAACCTTAGGCCCACCCTACACGTGTCCCCCGGGTGGTGCTAAACGAGCGACAAAGCCGATAAAATAGACTCGGCTCCTCGCCGTATGGTAGCGGCGTAAAATCTACCACCAACCCTTGTTCGCACCATGACTCAAGAAATAAAAGAAATGGCCCCGAGTTTCCGGCGCCCTTTAAATGGGGCAGGGGTGCGAAGAATCTCCGGGAGAAAAACCGGCGACGAGGTTCGCCACCCGTCACGTTCTGTCTCCCGGAGGGGCGAAAAGTGGATTGCGGAAACCCGTCTGGCTACGCTGAATGTATGTGGAGGAATGAATGATAAGATGGATGAAGTATGCGAAATGATGAATGACAGAGGAATAGATGTGTTATGTGTGAATGAGACGAAACGAAAGGGAAAGGATGCCACTGCACATGGCACGTATACCGCGTATTGGTCTGGTGTAGGCGAGACCGAACGGGCATGCCAGGGAGTCGGTTTCATCCTTTCAGAAAGAATGGGTCAATGTGTGAAAGAGTATGAATGTGTAAGCCCGAGACTGCTATGGATACGAATGAAAGTGGGCTTAAAGAAGCTGTTCCTGCTAGGGGTGTACGCCCCAGACATGTCTAAGCCCACTTACATCCGAGAGCAGTTTTGGGACATGGTAAGGATGGTGTTGACAAAATGTAAGGAAAATGAAAATATTATTATGTTAGGAGACTTTAATGGAAGGGTTGGGGTGAAGAGGTCTGGTTATGAAAGGATATTGGGAACGTTTGGTGATGAAAGTATAAATGAGAATAGTGAAGACCTCCTCACCGTATGTGCGGAAAAGAATCTTTTTGTGACGAATACTTTTTTTCGTCATAAGAAGATTCACATGTATACATGGGAAAGAGGTGATGATAGAAGCATGATAGATTTCGTAATTGTGGATGAAAGAATGAGGAGCGCAGTCGTAGATACGAGGATTTACCGGGGGTCCAACGTAGGGACGGATCATTACTTGGTCTTATGTCGAATTAATGGTCTTTTCAAGCGTTGGCGGCATCGGACATCTGTATCTACCACTGCGTTACAGCGTATAAGAATAGAGAAGTTACAAGATGAAGATGTGATAGAGAAGTATAAATGTAGACTGAGAGAAAATATTAGATGTTTGAATGAGTTGTGTATGAATGATTTAGACTTGAATACTGTGTGGGATAATATTAAGAAAGGTTTGGTGGATACCGCCACCGAAGTATGCGGTGTAAGTAAGAGAACAAATGAAAGGAAAAGTAATACGTTATGGTGGGATGATGAGGTACGGGTGGAAGTTGAATCAAAGAAGAAAGCATGGTTAGATTTACTAGCAACCAAAGCTGATAATTCTTCTGGTATGAATGATGAGATTGAAAGAAAAAAGGCAGAATTTAGACGTCTAAATAAGAGAGTAAAAGAAGTTGTTGAAAGGAAAAAGAAAGAAAGAACGGATAAGAATGATAGAAGGATATCTGATAATTTCCAGGCTAACATAAAAATGTTCTGGAAACTCGTAAGAACTGCCAGGGGAAATACAAAACAGCCTATAATAAATGCTATAAGAGACGAGAATGGATGTATTCTGAATGATGAAGTTTCGAATTTAAACAGATGGAAGGAATACTTTGAAAGCGTGTTTATGAGTAAAGAGTCGTATGAATTAAATGAAATAGAAATTCCGAAAGAAGTGGAAAGGGGTATGGAGATAAGTGTAGATGAAATAATGAAAGCAATGAAAAGCATGAAAGCAGGTAAGGCAGCTGGATATGATAGAGTATCACTCGAGATGCTAAGGGCTGGAGAGGGAGTGGTGGCAGGCCTGCTGTACACCTTGTTTAATTTATGTTGGGAATTAAAACGGGTACCGGATGACTGGTGTAAAGCAGTTATAGTACCAATATATAAAGGAAAAGGGTCACAGCAGGACTGCAAAAACTACCGCGGTATCAGCTTGCTTAGTATTGCGGGTAAACTGTATGCTAAGGTGTTAATTGAAAGAGTTATGAAAGAAACTGATGGAAAAATTTGGGATGTGCAAGCGGGTTTTAGAAAGGGAATGGGTTGTACAGATCAAGTCTTTTCCATGCGCATGATTGCGGAGAAGTTTCTGGCCAAAAACCAGAAAGTTTTTTGTGCATTCATGGACTTGGAAAAGGCTTATGACAGAGTGGACAGGAATGTGTTATGGCAAACACTGAACTCATATGGGTTGAGCGCTGGTTTGATACAGGCATTAAGATCTCTTTATAGGGACTCTAGTGCTTGTGTCAGGATCAATGGGGTCTACTCGGACTGGTTTGGCATCCAAAAAGGTGTCAGACAGGGCTGTGTGGCTTCCCCTTGGCTGTTCAACCTATTTATGGACCGGTGTTTGCAAACTTTGAAAGATGAAGAATGTGGGTTAAGAATGGGCGAGTTAACCGTCAAATGCCTTTTGTATGCCGATGATCAAGTCATACTTGCGTCATCGGCGGCAGAGTTGCAAATGATGGTTACATTAATGAACTGGGAATTAAAAGAAAGGGGAATGAAAGTGAACGCAAGTAAGACGAAAGTGATGGTTTTTGAAAGAGAAGAAAGCAAAACGGTATGTGAAATAAGAATAGAAGGAGAGTTGATTGAGCAAGTGGATGAGTTTGTGTATTTGGGATGTGTATTTAGCAGGGATGGTAGATATGATAGGGATATAGAACGACGAGTAAATTCAGGGAATAGAGTGAATGGGGCACTACACTCTATTATGAAGAACCAGAATTTGTCAAAACAGGCACGTATGGTAATTCATAATGCTGTGTTAGTCCCTACTTTAATGTATGGTAGTGAAAGCTGAGTGTGGCAGAAGAAGCACGAAAGTAGAATAAATGCTGTAGAAATGCGGTCTTTAAGGAATATGCTAGGGTGTAATCTGAATGACAGGGTGAGAAATTGCGTGATAAGAGATAAATGTGGTATGCAAGATGATGTTGTGACCAGGATTAAGAAAGGAATGCTTCGGTGGTTTGGTCACGTAGAAAGAATGAATGAGGAAAGAGTGACAAAGCAAATTTATATGGCAGATATGAATGGCCGAGTCGGGAAGGGACGCCCTAGGAAAAAGTTTATCGACCAAATTGGTGATATTTTGAAAATGGGCCATGTTAGAACTACCCTTAACCGACGAGCATGTATGCGTAGATATATGGATGTAAAGGAGGCGAAAGAGGTATGTCAGGATCGTACCAAATGGAAGTCCGTAGTCTCTGCCTACCCCTCTGGGTGACAGGCGTGAGTGTTTATGTTTATTCTGTATGTTCTTGACCATTTACCATCTTCCCGATAATAACTAAAATAATAAAAAAACTTCAGTTGCCAACCTGCTTGCCAAGACTGGCAACTATGGCAAATATTCCCCATATAAGGCAATCTATCGACAGAAATTTTTAAACATTGCTATACTGTTGAGTTAAATATGCAGAAAACAATTGTATGCAAGTGTTACAATAGCTTACCTCTCCTGGGTTTAACTCTCCACCAGGCAGCTTAAAGAAAGCAGTACCAAGCTGCAGCAGCAAAACGTGAGGTAAACCATGCTCATGAACTAAAAGGACACCTTCCACAGATCTGAAAATATTACAATTTCTCATAAAATATAAATTAGCTCTGTGTTGGTCTGGGACTTATAGGTACCATGTTTATATGGAAAACAAGCATGATGTATAAATTATGAATGTTTTTTGTTTGTAACAGATGGTGTAAATGTATTGTTTTGCAATAATTTGCTTAACAATTCAGAACAAATAATTGAGTTTTATATGTGATAGTCAAGCTGCAGTTATATTATGGATGTAGCACGGATGGGTCGGCACGACTGGGGTATGACCATACTATCACAGAATACCAGCATAAAATAGCAGCTTAATGCTGCTGTGTCTCGTATGGTGAGTGTAGAGAACCGGAGACCATATTCACTGGAAATGAGGCATTCCATCTTAGCCCTCAGGGGTGACAATGGATCTGCATTTTGATTCTTAATGGAGGATAAATGTAGATGTCTATGGGCCACAGCATCCACTTACCATCAGGTGGACTGTGTGCTCATTTGTCACCCTTATTCTATTTAAAAAAAAGTTGAGATGACCTCATTAATTAAACAGTGATCTGTGATTATTTTGCACTAAATGTGAATGTGATAATATTATGAGAATAGGCTTTGAGCCGTAGTAGCTCAGGCACTAAGCGGTCACTGTAAATTTCACAGTACATGAGCAACCCGGGTTCGATCCCCACTGGCATCAATGAAATTGCTAATTACAATTTTGAGTGTTGATTTACCATATGCTCAGTGGTGAAGAAAAACATTGTTAGGAAACCTGCATGTCTGAACAGTAGGAAAAAATGTTTGAAGATGTGAAGTTTGCCAACACACATTGGCAGCACAGCAGGCAGTGCAGTAGACATTTCCTTGCCTTAGAACCATCTCAGAAATGAGAGGCCTGTGCCCAGCATTGGACATAAGAGTCTACTAGAATCAAAAACCGCAATGTCCATTTCACAGTTTTAGCCACAAATCAAAATATTAGGATTATGAGTTATTAGCATGTGTTTGGTACCTGTAGTTTTTGTAAATGACAGTCGATTATCTTTTAATGATTACACAATATTAAAAGTTAGATTTTTGCTTATAACTAAATTAAATGAACAGTTTGGACATTGCTAATTTTGGAATACACAGGTGGACTTTGCGGTTTCTGTTGCATGTGTTTGTTGCACATTGCTTATTTTGAAACATACATATTTCAGTGTAATAGGATAAAATGATACTTGAGTAGTTTGCATAGAAAAATAGAAGTATAAAATTGAATCATGTAATTTACATGCATTATTAATTTTAATGACCTATATGACTATTTTAAATTGTCGGTACTTTTTTCTAAAGATAATAAAGAAAAAACCGTCCAAGTGTGATAGAAAATACTCTAATTAGTAATAAGACATTTGCATGTATTGCTATTATTATAATCCCCTATTATGCCATTAAAAACGAGTAAAAACTACAAAAACACAAGTCTCCTGTATGGGAACCCACTTTAATTTTTAAACATAATTTTTCTTTATTATATTTTTTTTAGCGAATATGGTAATACAAACTGTGTGAGTATTTTAAGTGTCTACTTGTTGCCATTATTAATTTCGAACAAAAATAAAACCCCAAAAAACATGTTTTAGTAGAGGAGAAAAACTAAAGGGGGTTCTTTAATTTTTATTATTTTTTTAGTATTATTATTTCTTGTTATAGCGGCAACAGAAATTACACAGTCTGAAAATTTCAACTGTCTACCTGCTACAGATCATGAGATACAGCCCGCTAACGGACAGACGGACGGCCGGATGGGCAGAAAGACGGACAGTAGAGGCTTAGTAATAATAATACCCTTTGGGTACGGAATCCTGAACAACTAATGTTTACTAAATTAATGTTTATTTAAAACATTATTAAACTAAATTATTAATAATGGCAGCTCCTCTTGTTCTTCACACATCTACTCTCCAGGGTTATCGTCATCTCTATGATCATCATCGTAATTTACCAAAATGTGTTGTGGCAGGACTCAAGTAAATTATCTCGAGGTATCTAAACTACGCCAATCATCACCCTAATGAGTCTGAAGCAAATTGTTAACGTCTCTCAGTTTCAACAGTTTTACTGTCACTCCTTGTGTTATTATAATTGGTTCAAACATTGCAGATTTTTTTTACAAGTGCCGTATATACTTTCATATACATTCAGTAAAAAAACTGTTATTTTGAAATTACAAACAAATACTTTTATTTATTTGTATAGATTAATACTTCATCCTCGACATGAAATTATTATACCAACTTACATTAGATGATACATCTAGTCCATGTATTAGAAGTTTAAACAAGTATTTATAGAACAAGTATCAAAACTTTATAACTGGTATATTCACTGGTTGTTTTTGGCCTTACTATTTTTTCAGTTTGCACTACCAACTCGGATTTTTATGCATCTTTATTGTCCACCACTTCGGAATAACATTCCATAATTCATTTATAATTATAATTTAGAGCTCACAAATCTGTTTAGTCACCTCAAAAATGAAACTAGACAAGCATACTCCTAACAGTAAATACCATAAACCGCCATACTGTTTATGCGACCAGAGATGTGAATTATTTGAAATACATGTATTTTAAATACAAATGGGCGGTTTCACAATGTAAATTAATACCGTTTTTCTTGGCTTTTTACTCATAGGGAATACACCTAGCATATATCATTTTAAACATAAGATTATCATTTAATCAAAAATTATAGCAGTATAGATCATAAGGTTTGAGAATTTAAATAATATGTCTTTAAAGTTTAGGTCGATAATCTGGCCATGGTGGAAAACTCCATTCTGAAACCAAGATTTATTACGTACAAAAACTAAAGTAAACTACCAAATTGGTTTTTATTTTATCGGTAGCAACACATATTTACAACGAAATAGCAACCGCTATTTTTTTTTAAGTCATTCGAGCGCTACGAATGTTGGAGTAGTGAGTGTCAGGCGATTGCATTTTAAAAGTTCCACGATCCGAAACCGAAATTAATGGTAAGTTAAACTTATTTTACAAGAATATAGATATATTACTAAACCCAATTTTCAAATTTAGAAATCAGAATAGTTAGTAGAATTGTAATGAAACTTTCATATGTTGTGCAAGTGTTGATACCGTTACCTCCACTCCGAAATTTATTGACGGTTTTGTAGAAGCGGAACAAAACATGTAAGGGAATGGAAACCTAAAGCTTGGTTTACATACCTGCAGTAATTAATATATTTAATTTATATAAGTACCTACCATTTTTTTTATAATCTACTGGAACCGCTTTCAATAATAACATATTTTATTGTTTACTTGTTAAGCGAGGTTTATATCACCTTCCTCCACCACCACCTTCACTGCTGGCCGTATGAGGACGCTCAAAGTCGCTCAGCGAGCTATGGAGAGGGCTATGCTCGGAGTTTCTCTGCGTGATAAACTTATAAATGAGGATATTCGCAGTAGAACCAGAGTGACCGACATAGCCCAACGGATTAGTAAGCTAAAGTGGCAATGGGCCGGCCATATAGCTCGAAGAACCGACACCCGTTTGGGAAAAAAGGTTCTCGAGTGGCAGCCTCGTACCGGTAGACGAAGTGTAAGGTGACCCCTCACTAGATGGAGTGACGACCTGGTAAGACATGCAGGAAGTCGATGGATGCAGGTGGCTCAGGACCGTGCTTTGTGGCATACCTTGGGGGAGGCCTATGTTCAGCAGTGGACTTGTAAAGGGCTGTAATGATGAATGATGATGATGATGATAACGTAATCAAACACTAAAGTGTTATGGCACTGATTCTAATTTTGTAAACTTAAATTTAGAAACATTTAAAAATAATCACGCAAATAAAGATCATTATCATCATTAATTAAATATTTAAATTACAACAAAGCGCTGACGCCCTTATATTATTTCTAATATTCATTAGTAACAAGTGCTTTTTTTTATAGATGGCGGATAAAATGAAAAGATACAGGGAGAATTTGAAAAAAAATTCTGAAAAATATGAAGAGTATAAAAAGAAAGATTTGCAAAGATTTAAGATAAACGCAAAGAAAATTTTGTAGTTAACCGAACAAGAGAAAGAGCAAAGACGAAAATTGTGGCGAGAACAGAAAAGAAAACAAAAAGTACACAAAGAAGCTTTAAATGTGCCACAAGCATCCATATGTAATGAAACACCTACTAAACGCTGTAAAAATGAATGAATGACATGTGCGTAGTAGACTTCCCTCGTAGACTTGTTACAAACTATGTGTAATTAAAGATTCCCCGATCTTTGCGGGTGGAATTGTAGGAAGTGTAAACGTAAAAAAATGGGTACATTTTTCTTCCTACATGTAAACTATTCTTTACAGTTCCATTCCGAAACTTTACTATTCCTTTCGGTGACTGTCCTATTTTTGTTGATTACTTAATTTTATATGTATTACTTTATTAACGTGGAGAGACATTTTTTTTTGTTAATCTTAAGAAGACTATTATTTGTTGTTTATTTTAAAATAATAATAATTGTATTTTTTCGAAAGGCTTCGTAATTTTGTCGATAAAAATAGTGACAGCTGGTCAAATAGTAATGTAATGGAAATAAAGACTGAATTAATTAAAGCTTGTTATTTTTGTTTATTATAATTTTGTATTATTTTATACAAATACAGTTCTTAAGACACATTAAAAACTGCTAACAAGTTCAAAGTGTGTTTGATTTGGTAAAACCACCATGCTTATTTGGTAACGGAATAGAGCGTTATTCATTATCTGGGTGGATAAATACTAATAAAATATTACTAAAAAGCAAATTATGAACCCAAAAATCTCCATATCATTTGTTAAAATATGTAATGGATCGATCCTTTGCAAAAATTATACCGGGTTCCAATAAAAATAAAATACTGTTATTTTTTATCACTGTCACATTTTTGTGAAACCACCCAAATACAAAATGCAAAATACCTATTTTTATTTTACATTTTAAATACTTTTTTCGAAATGTATTTAGTATTTT